GCCCCCCCGGGGGGGGGGGGGCGCGCGGGGAGTGAGCGAGCAGCTCCGTGGTGCTCAGTTGCCAACTGAGGTTAAACCACAACAGATCTTCAGCACGTCTACATGAGTCCTTTACGTAGCTGATACTTAGAGACTATTTAATATACTAATAAAGCAATTTATATTGTTTGTTCATCTTTTAAGGCATAATCATATGTACACCTTGTTACCAACTCTCAATCACGTCTTTTTTGAGATCTAATACTAGGTGACAGTATCAGACCTTACTTTTTGCATGTTTAGTTCATTATTACATCAATGATTAAAGTCCGGCCATATGCCTCACAGTACACATGTAACTGGAATTCAAGTAGTTAGTCCATTTGAACAATAGTTTATCAGATATTTTCCTTCGCTTTTCAACTTAGCAGCAGTAAGCCCCAGATTTAGTCTTGCCCCTTGACAGGATGTGATCTAATAACATTGGTGAACAGAGACATTCTCGGGTAACCCGCATAGACTCATGCAAATAAAGTATAGTCTTGTTGTCCAGAACTGCCCTGCTTGCAAAACAGAACTCAGTAAGAACAATTCATATTGTCGTACTACCTGTGTGGTCACAATAGCAGCGTGATAGTTTGTGCAGCTCTCCCCACGCTGTACAGCATCCAAGTACAGTGAAGCAGCGTCGACAGCCTGCAGAGACCAGACCATCCCCAACAAGCTGTTGTGGAATTCTTCCCCTGAGACTTTCACACATGCTGGAAGAGCCACAAGGGCACCTTATTTTTGTTCACGCTACATCATGAAATTGCATATCTATTTTCTAGTAGAGACTTCTCTCAGAATGCAGAACAGCTTTGAGATCCTGTTTCTGTTTCCAACTAGGAAAGAACCCAGATTCAATTGTTTTTATCCTCAGTTCCACCTTGAAGGCTTAACATGTTTCACCAATTTCAGTATTGGTGAGAGATTCTGTTGTCCCGATAAACAGATGAATAGATACTTGCGAAGAAGTGAAAGCATACAACTTATCCTCAGGTCCTTCCTGAGTCCCACTGTGAAAACTGACATAAAACTACTTGCTTTATACTTACACTGATGTGAATGAGATACTCACTAACCTCCCCCTACTCCAGACTTACTTAAATTAAGAATTTGACTGTGTACATTTCAGCCTAGTGTTATCTCCTTGCTCTTTCAAGATTATGTGAATGACTCTTTGCCTACATGCAGTTTGCAAGAAGCTGTTACAGTGCCTATGTTACAGAATTACAGTTGCAGTGGCCCTAGCATTAGAGCTTGTGGATAATTGAGTCTCCAAATGCAGGAGAAAACAATCCAGAAAGAAGGTGGAGAATGCTGAGTCACAACTGACACCAACATATCTCAGTAAGTCACAGGAAAATCCCCGAGGCTGTTGCCATTTCCCCTGCTCCTCAGTGCTCCCCTGGATCTCAGCCACAGGAAGATGTCTGTACATTGCTAACAGCCAAAAAAGCAGTTTCCTCTTCTGATTTATAATCCCTTTTCTGGAATAATTTCCAGTCCTAGAAGATATCCAATTGACATTTACACACATAACACTTCCTGCAGAGCACTGTTTACAAATTAGTCATACCTTCTTCCACTAAGTAGCACATCAGAGTCCTGCCCATTAGTCACTATCCCTTCTGCAGAAGGGATATGGCCAATTACTTCTATCCAGAATAGATCAGCTGGTCATTTCTTTGGCTCCGATACAGCTATCTTACTGAAGTGACCGTGTCCCATTACCTCAAACTTACACTTCACAAGTGGGTCTGATAACCAATGCTTAATTTTTATTTTTGATGTTAAAGCAAAGACCTCATGTGCACTAGGAAAACCAGATGCTGTTATATACATGTGTGTATATACGTGTTTCCATATGTATAGGCTTAGATTTCTCTCTTTTGGCTCTATCTAGAAGACAGGCAGTGAGAATTTCTCGTTCTCTCCATCTGCATTGTCAAAGAGATTTTCCCTTCACTTGAGGACATTCAGCAAGACCCCTACTGAAGGAGCTATTAGAGACTCCTGCTTATGTGTTCACAGCTCTCGGGACTTCAACAAAGGAGAGGAATGTTCCTCCAGCCAAACCTCAGCAGTTTGGGAAGCTTTTTCCATTTAAAACATGGATGATAGGGAGGAAACTTCAAAATTAGTGGAATTAAAAGTTGCATGTCACTGTAAAAGCCCAATTTAGTAGATTGTGTCTTGCTTCCTGGTCTTGGGTAGGTAGAAAGAAGAAGGAAGGTAAGCAGATTCCATCCTCTTTCCCATGCTGGCAAATTCCCATGTCCTGGATTTCTACTGACAGCAAGGATCAAAGACTTACAGTTCCTTCTCCAAAACCAAATGTCATCAATCCTCCTACTTTTCTATGTTTTGTTGTATGGAGAGGAAGAATAATTCAGATCATGACCCTTCCTACACCGGCTTTGCAGTGGCTCCTAGTGACAGGGGGAGGCAGCTGCAAGCACAGAGGAGCCCTCAATAAATATCTGGCAAGTCCTGAGCCTTGTGTCCTCCATACAGAAAAACAAACCTCTTCCCATGATTCCTTCTGTTATGTTTTCTTGCTCTTAATGCAGCTATAGTAATTGCAAGTGCTTTGAACTGTGCCTCAGTACTTGCCTGACAGCCTTAGTACCAGAAAATGTTAAAGCCAACTTAAAGCTCTCTGCATTCCAGGGATTGTATCTGCACAAAGAAGCCAGATGCTGAAAATGGTCATTCCCAGGCTTAAGATTCTTGTCTCCAAAAGCCTTTTAATATCTTGGCAAGCTGCACCAGAGACAATACCAGTACCGGAAGTATATACATGACCAAGATAAATCAGAGCCTTCCCTCCTGCTTTTAGCAACTTCTGACTCCTGTCCCACACCTCCCTCTAGTGGGAAACACATTCCCTAAGAGACTGCAACTCGGATAAATGTTTGCTCTTACAGCCAGCCTGCCCTGCTGATTTTGCAGAGGCAGTTTTGCAGTCTGAAAGAAGTCTAACACCTGAACTGAGAAGACTCTGCCTGCTGCTGCTACGCTTGGATGGAAGCATGATTCTGAGGACAATTTTAAAAGCAGAAGCTATTAACACACTAAGATAAAGCAGGTAGTTGTTCACTGTTCAGCTACTGTTATAGACCATGGCTCTCATTGTATTCATTTTGTGTTCAGCTCACAACACTGAGGCTTTCAGAACTTCAAAATTTAGGGACAGATTATACCAAGGGCTTTGTTTACCACTATTTCTATACTAGCCCAAATTAACAGTTCTGCACCTATATAACCATCCCACGCACTGTGCCAAGAATTATAGCACAAAGTGCTTAAAGAGCACTTGCCACCCCAGAAGAGGTATCTTCCAAATGCTCCCAGTACAGACAAGAATGGTGTAGCAGCCCCGTGTAAACCCCTGCTACCAGATAGGTATGCTTGGATTTTTTTGTGCACTTTCCACTCTGACTCCCCAAAGGCAGAACTGAGGCTCTTTTGTGTAGAAACACAGAGAAATTACACCTAGCTCTTTGAGGTACAGTAGAGTTTTCACGTATGAGACCAGGGAACAAGAATTACGTGATCTGCTGAAGCTCCTCAGCTCCAGTCAGGAGAGGGCAGTGTCACCCTTACACAGATCGCAGCAAGGATTGCAGCCTGCCCATGCTGCAACATAACTACTGCCTCACTTACTGTACTGGGTCTGGCTGACATCCGGGTACCTTTCTTCATAGTACCCGTATGGTGCTGTGTCTTGGATTTGTGGCTAAAACAGTGTTGATAACACTTGCTATTGCTAAGCAGTGCTTGCACAGTGCCAGAGCTTTCTCGTTTTTGGACTCTATTTGCACCTCAGCAAGTAAGTTGGGGGTGGCCAAGAAGCTGGGAGGGGGCACAGCTGACTCAAACTGGCCACAGGGATACTCCATAACATGTAATATCATGCTTAGCAATAAGATGGGGGTAGAGGATGAAGAAGGCAGGGTTTCTGACTTCCAAAGTGGCCATTGCTTGGAGACTGGCTGGGTATCAGTCTGCTGATGCAAGGTGGTCAGTGACTGCCTTTGCATCACTTGGGGTTTTTTTCCTCCTCTTTCTTTCCTCCTCTTTCCTTCACCTGTTAAACTGACTTTATTTTGACCCATGAGTTTTCTCACTTTTATTCTTCCTTTTTTCTCCCCCACCCCACTGTGAGGGGACAGGGAGTGAGCAGCTGTGTGGGTGCTTGGCTGCTGGCTGGAGTCAACCCACCACAGTTATTCTTCCCAACTTGTAACAGTTTCTCTAACTACAATCCCTACTTCAACACCTGTCTTTTACAGAAACACAATAGTGAAATTTGTGATTAAACTTGAACTGCTCCTGATCATTCATGTTATAAAGACTACATTCTGTCCAATTCTCCTTTACCTTAAGTAAAGTTTGCTTTACTTAAAATAGTGTCAGATTTTGAGGCTAGCATGACTAAGCGAACAGGTATTAGGGATCCATCCCTTTCTGTTCAAGTGGTAGAATCCCAAAATCTCTGTATCATGCAAAGCATATTAATATATTTTTTCCTTTGAAAACTGTTTACACAAGACTGATTTCAGACTTCAGATTCACACCCTTCCTGTTCCCAGTACAGCTCCACCGGGGAAACAGCTATTTTCTAACACATTCTTGAATTGCCTCAACGGCTAACTTTTCAACTACTTCAGAGGTATGTGCCATATTTGTCTGACAAATAATAGGAATTACAAGGTCTCTTTATAATAGGAACTAAGAAAAAGAGGACAAAAAGGAAGAGTTGAGAAAAAGTTAATTGACCTACTAATTTTTTCTTCCCCACACTGGCTCTAAACAGAGACCTTTCTCTCAAGTAGAAAGTGACAATTTCTCATCTAACCATGGATAAACAACACTATTTACTCCTGCAAAAAATTTTATTCTGTTTTATTGAATTACCTACACACATTAACTGTGTCCTGTTTTTCTACTACCTCTACAAAAGTCCCCTCAGTGACTGATTGCATATTGAAAAAGAGTTTTACCATAAATTAATAATTTCTTCTATCTTTAGATGATCATGTTTATTTATTAGTGTATTACCACTTCTTGCTCCATGTCATTATTTGCAAGTTGTTTCTATAGTTATACATTAGAGATACATAACTGAGAAGCTATATCCTCATCAACTTACAGCAAGTTTTTGCTGTGGTCTGTTTCTCTGGTTATTTTCTAAATTGAGTCTCAGCTGCATCAAATACTTAGGTAAAAATGTAAAATCTCCTAGGCCTTATCTGCACCTGATGCCACTCTGGCTGGGATGTAAAGACTGCCTTAAAAAAACCCCCACAAAATAAAACCCTACTGCAGATACAGTTATGACTGTAGCTAAATAGCATTGGTGAAATGTAATCGTTGTCACTGCCAGCATGTGCTAGTGCTACTAACATTTATTTTTTACATCCTTTGCAGGCTGTTCCCTTTAAGAGGGATTTTTTTTTTTTTTTAAGTCAGAATCACTAAGCTATATCTTAAAGTACACCCAGTATAATCAGTGAACTAAGCTAGCTAGACATATACTTACTTTAAGGCTTCAGTAAGACAAGAAAAGTCTTAATGGAATACAAAATTTCTGTGGAAGTAATGGCACAGACTACAGCATAGCCTATTTACTGCAACTATCATCAGCTCTTACTGGTTTAGGAGCAGTGCATCATCCAAGGCCAAGTACTATCTAACTTACTTGAATTATGACATCTCTTCTCCCTCTAAGTCATTTGTAGATATATACAAAGTTTCAACATCTTTTCAACATAGATAAGATAGTTTTTAGGTAAAAACTCAGATCAAAGCTTATGTATTTGGTCAGGAGCTGAGAAAGCACTTTTATTACTGAGATAAAGCACACTTCTTCCCCATCACCTCTCTTACTGTAGGGATAGAGATGTTTTTACAAACCTACTTCAACTGTTTATTAAGCTAAAGCAAATGCTTCAGTAGAAGTACTACCATTGACTTCAGTGCAGATGAAACATATGTTCTAAATGATTACATACTTAAGCACTCTGTTGTAGTGCAGCTGAGAAGCCCTGGCCCTGAACCTAGACACAGCTTCTTTAAAGCATCTGAATAGTTTAACTGAGAGAACAAAAGCAGTTACTTACACATCTGCACACACATGCCAAGATCTGCAGTGCTGAGTCACAGCTTAAGAGTCATCTAGTGTCACTTACCTCCAGAAATGAAGCTCAAATCCTTCACACTTATCCTTGCATTTTAAGCAGGGGGCACCAAATCCTTGCTCGTGGCCCAAGCCCATCTGTGTACAGAACAAGATGACTACAGTCAGCTTCAAGAAATATGCTGCATGAATGATCTTACTGCTGCCTTTATAGGACAGCATTCTGGGGTCCACTCACCTTTCTGTTGTACCTACATAAGTGACAGTGTTCGAACAAGCCTGTTCATAGGGTTGAGCTAGCAGGCAGAAAGTTAGCCTTACCCAAAACCGAGTATTTTTCTGGTGACTTGACTCCCTAGCCCAGCTTGCTCTGCAAGCTTCACACAAGGGAAGAAGCAGATTCTTTGCAGCTCTTCCTTAGGTCTGTGGCTATGAAACCATAGTGAGTGAGGCCATAAGACCTCAAGTCAAAGGATATTTAATCCAGCTCAGGACAAAGTGATTTGCAGTATATGACTTGGCAAAATACAGGAGATAAAGAAATAAACAGATCCCACATTTATATGCACTAACCTGGGCATCTGATAAGAATAAAAGAAAACATCTAAGTGATTAGTCTAATATTCCTGAGTATATTTGAGACTACTCTGATAGTGATTGAGAGCAGAACATACCCTTTACAATTACGTTTCAGCTGGACTAATACCAGCTTACTTTCCAAGGAGAAAGAGCAACAGCACAGCTAGTGAAAGCAATGACCATAAATGATATGCAAAGGGTTTCACAGTGAAAAGATTAAAAGGACAGACGACCAATTCATAATGCAGAAGAAATATGAGAGAATACAAAAACCAGCGCAGAGTAAAGGCCAGGTATTCACACAATATATCAACACATCAGCAAATTTAACTGAGTAACAGCCACTGGAAGTTTGAGGTGAAAAATAGACGCCAAGTGCCATAACTTATGCATTCATATAACACAGCAAATTTAAAATGCCTCACTCCAGCTCTTTAAACCTTTGGGGAATGTTGCTCTTAAATCAGACGGATGAAGGACCATGGAACTGTGGCCACGGTTGGGTGTGCAGGCTCATGCCTAACATGCAGGGAGGAACCCATCCCCATGCTCCCACCCACTGCTCCAGCAGTGTGAGGAGCACTCCCAGTTAGCTATGGGCAGATGCAGTGGGAGCGATGGTCATCGCAAAGGAGACAACTCACCTCCGGTTTGGCTTTTACCATGAATGGAAAGTGAGCTAGAGCTGACAAGTTCTGGTACTAATCTTTGTTCTGACAACAATAATACAATGCCAGGGTTAATTAGGTATGGTGATACAGTTTTATTGTTCAGAAGTTTGTGATTTACTCTGAGAAGTCATACTGCTATTGTTGTACGTACAAGGATATAAACAGCTCAACTTTCAACTTGTTTCTGTCCAAAGTGAAGGAACAGATTATTCAAGCCACTTGATCAACACAGAACACATGATAAGATGCAGGGAAGACCATGTTTTCAGTTACTTTATAATTTGAAGGATCACTGCCTCCACAGTCATTAGACATCCCTGAGGAAATTACAAAAAGCTTTCCTGCAGATTACTGGCTATTTAGGGAGAAGAGATACTTTGGCAGCTATTAAGCTACTGCTTGCAACTGCAGGGATGGACAGAGGGACACAAAATTATTTCTTCCTTTTTTATCTGGAAGAAGAAATACAAGCCTGCTGTGATCATGGTGACAGCTTTATCAGCCTAAGGGCTCAAGAAGTTCACATGCTATAGGCACTAACCTGAAGCCAGACCAGCAGACATCTAAAATAAACATAACTTTAAAGATTAAGTTCTCTTTCATCAACTACATTTTTGTCTATGTTGGATATATAAAGCTAACGGGTTAATAAAAGTTCATCTCCACTGAAGATGGGCATTTACAGGGGTCGTCTCATCTGGAATCCAGAGCCCTGCCATACGGACACTGTACCTCATGCACGCACACCGTACATCAGAAAACAACTGAGCACTCTTGTCAAGTCACACACAAAGAGAACAAAATGTTGACCAGATGTTCTCTAAAGAGAAAGAGGAAGCTAAAGCAACACAAAACAATCACTTTTTCTTCAGGACAGGTTGGTTTGTTTGGGGTGGATTGTTTGGGTTTTTTTGGTTGGTTTTTAAAATCATCCTCTCTAAAAAGGTGTTAAACTTAAAATGTGCTTGCACTGCCCTAAAAAACCAAAAAACCCAAACACCCAACCCTGCCCTCCCCCCAAAAAAGCAAAGCCAACATTAACCCATTCTCTCTAGCTGCTACTTCAGCTACAAACTGGCATTACTTCTTTATGCTTGGGTTCTCTCCTCCTTTAAAAAGAGGGGAAGGGGGAGAAAGGGGAATAATGATAATTATTAGTGTTGTAATTAGAAGGCTTAGAAACCTAGGATCACTTGTGTGTAGAGTGTTATTGTGCAGTACACAGAGAAATAGCCTTAACATTTCAAGAATTCCCAAAACAATCTGAAATGCAAGTATGAGAGTGAAAATGATTTTTGCAATTTTTTAATGTATCATTTCCAAGCCTCCTAACATTTAAGGGTTTTTTAAGCTAAAAATACCTCTCCAGAAGCAGACTAAGGAGAAGAAATACGTGCTGTCTAAATGTTCCACCCAAAACATACTCCCTCTCCAGAGTAAGGGGACAACAACCAGCCAGCCTACTTGCATCTTCACAGCCAGCAGTCTCAGTGCAGATTTCTTCAGAAATAGAGGATTCCACATTCCCTCCCCAGTAATAAAGAGCACATCGTTAAGTAAATGCTTATGCAGCTTGAGACAAATAAACTGAACTAGCAAACGAGATAGACCTGTTTTGAAATGTATTTCTTCATTTGTTGCAAGAGAGAAAGAAGGGGATGACCTTTCTATATGCCATGTCTGGTCACCTTATGGAAAAGGTTTAGCTCAAAACTAAGGGGCACATTGAAAGCCAAATTAGATGCAATTCCAGATGCACACAGAGCCTCTGCCTTTGTTCCGACAGAGAAAATATGTGGCCGCTTGCCAAAAATAAAGATACAAAATAACAATAGATAGTCAAACTCAAGAGTGCTGTGTGCTAACAGTCAGCGCATATCAAATATTCCTCCACAGTCCTGTAGCAGGACCTGTTTCAGTGGTAAGGAAGCCTCAGCCTCAGAAGTGACTGTTTCCTCTTCAGCTGCCAATTCTGCTGTATTTGGGAAATTCAGAGAGCCTAAAGCTGCAGTGTGCTTCTTCGCTGCTGTCGCCTATGTTTAATCCCCATGCCTTCTGAAGGACACGGCCAGCTCCCTGCTGGAGCACCCAGAGATACAGAGCAGGCTGAGCAAGCACTGGAGCGGGAATGCATGCCTGAGAACAGGAGGGAATCCCATTTTCCCCATAAATGGAGTCATGGGAGAAGTGGCACTGATAGGTCAGCTGAAATACTGCCAGAAGAAGGTTCCTGCCTGTCTACTGCCATTAATTTTCATTTTACAGCAAAAGCTATCTAAAACCATCTGGTATTACTAACATACCCAATACAGATTTAAATAGTCTGAGTATGGAAGATGATATAAATATCATTGAGATCATCCATTGCATGCTGCTTTCAAGGTTAAATAGTCCTCAAGGGCAAAGAACTTTAAATGGTTACAGCTAAGTGAGAATTAGTGAAAGACTGCCCCATTTCAGTTCAGACTGCAATCCAGTGTCAAAAGTTGGCTATCTTTACGTTAAAGAGCCATGTATAGAAGCTTACTGTCATCTTAAAAACCAAAATGGTTCAATTCAAGTGTCTGAGAGCTTGTTCAGATGGGCAAGAGAAACACAGCAGCTGCTATGAAATAGTTTAAAGCCTGGCTTATCAGGAGGGTTTATTGTTAAGTTTATTAAACATGACCGAGAGTGAAAGTCCAACAAATCCTGTTTCTCCCTCCTATTAATTTAAACCCACCAGCAAATGTTGAAGTCCTACTTCGTTGCAATTTTAGAATACTAATTTCAGAATTCGTATTCCTGTAAATACAGAATCTGTAAAAGCAGATTTCACAGACCATCAGACAACAAAGCATCTCCTCACATGGGATGCTATGAAAAAAATTCATCATGGACACAAATAGATTATGCATGTAGATTAGTCTGCAGGCCAATAGAAATGCAGTTATATTGTCACGTACGGTTTCTCTTACGTGGTAAAATATGGATAAGTTTGTTAACAAGTTTGTTCCTATGTGGAACAAACTGTGCCACAGTTTACAGTGCTGGTAAAAAAATAATGTTGTGATGAATGGAGGATTAGCTTTTTAATAGTTACAAAAAGTGTAATGTCACAGAACTCAATATTATTGTTGACAGTTACAGGAAAAACAAAGATAAGCCCTAAGTAATCTTAGATGAATTAAAACATAAGACATAACAGTAGTTTTTCAAGCTTGCCTATATTTGCTTTTAATGAGCATAGATTATTTTAAGTTGAAAGGGTTCTCTGGAGGTCACCCAATTGCCCACAAAGAGCAGGTGCAACAAAATCAGATTTGCCCAGGGCCTCGTCCAGATGCAGATTCAACAGCCTATTACAACATTGGACCGCACAGAGGAAAGAAAATCTGTATGTTTAATCAGAATTTCTCACCTTGCAGCTTCTGCCCACTGTCTCTCATATTGTCACTGTACAGTGACTAGAGTCCGATTCTGTCTTTTCTATTCCCTCCCAATAAGCAGCTGGGCACAAGTGATACAAAGAGTATCCTGACAGAGTTCCACTGGAAATCTTTAATTACTTTAATAGGTACCATTTAATAGTCATCGCATCCAGCACAAATACAGCCCTCGAATAAAGCTAGCTGCTCTGACCTTCCTGTCCTTTTACAAAGGAGCCCCTGGGGTGCAGCAGTAAGAAGGTAAAAGAGGAACCTGTAACAAAATGCAGAAGCTCCACTTGGCATTTCTAGGTTTCCCTCCCACAAGATTTCTTTTACCTCCTGTCCCACCAAGATACCAGAGCTAACTTGGGTCTTGGCTCCTTTTCCTTCCTCCCCCTGAGGGGACTCCTGTACCACCAGACAGGTGAGCTGTATTAATCTTTCACCTTGCCACAGACAGTAAGATACAATACCAGTA